AAAAAAAAATGAAATGAGCCGTCTAACTTGAAGGGTTGGAGTCAAGTAGCTAAAGCAACTCGCCGACACCGACGGAAAATGTCAAGGAAACTGAATTTGGGGATTGGGAGGGGCAAAAACCAAAGTCTTTCACGAATACACGTATGCAGTTTTGCCCTAACATTGCTTCACCTTTCCAATGTATCTCACGCTTTTAAAGGCAAAGTCTGAGAGTTTAAATAATCCCTCCTAACGCTGAAAACAATATTAACGTGAATGAATTAATTGTCTAATTGGAGAACAAGCTTTGTAAGCGTCATCACTAAATGTAAAAAGATTGATTGATCCTTATTCGTCACTTTACAACTTAAAAGCAATGATTCCCATATTATTGCCTCCTAATCTTGGAGTCCCATTTCCCTTAAATTTGTCCGATTGATCCCTCCATCAATCTCTTTGATACGGGGGGAAAAGGAGGGAATAGAAGAGAAAAAGGAACGAAAAAATATTTATCATTAGACTAAAATATACAAAAATTTAAAAATAAGATAAGGAAAAGTATATAGGATTAGTGTTTATCCACTTTATTTTCTAAAATTTTGAAAGAAAATTATTTTAAAATTATATCATTTGAATAAAATATTAGAGAGAAAAACAAAAAACACTTTAATACATGTTTTAAAAATAATATATTTTAATTTTTTTCAATAAAAATTTATTAAAACGGCATATTTTTGAGATAATTTTCTTTCTAATTTTTAAGAAGTAAGTATATTCTCTCCTATCTAATTTTCTATCAGCTAAATAAAAAATTTTTCTCAGCATTCACTTCCGTCCCCTCTTTTACTTCCATTAAATAAGCTAAGTGACCAACTAATTTATGAGATTAGTCATGCTAACTCTAATTTTATAACTGAATTAATGAATAATCCCATTAACAAAACATATTAGCTTCATGGGAACCACCATAACCTTACAATCTCAATCTCCAGATGGTGGCTGTAATTTCTTTCAATAGAAAATATGAAAATAAAGCTCTTATGTTTAAGTGATGATAGCAATTGTGGGTGGGATATAAAAAAAATTATAAGTCAGTCAATAATTCATAAACAAATAAATGAAATAAAAGTCCATTCCCACGCTTATAAAAAATTAAAAAAAAAATTTTTAAAAAAGTTTTAAAAAGGGTGGTAACGGTCCATGGTGACGGCTGCAGGCCTGCAGTGTCCCTCTCAGGAAACTTCATCAGGCAGGCCAAACTTCAATGTGAAAAACTGGATTTTGTCATGTAAAATACAAAAGAGTCTGCATCAGAAGTAATTCAACAGATAATGTTTTTTTTTTTTTTTAGTTATAAACAAAAATTGTTTTGCATTGGATAACAAGAAAATTAATTTTCATTGTCCATCATTGGAAAGGGAGAGAGTTTCTCAATTTTGCCCGCATGTTGATCGAGATATTACAATGTGTTAGTGACCCGCCTTCCAACCTGGGGTGGTGGCGCAGTTGGCTAGCGCGTAGGTCTCATAGCATCTGAGTTATCCTGAGGTCGAGAGTTCGAGCCTCTCTCACCCCACCAAAACTTTTCTTAATATTTGAATTACTACATTACTTTTACAATATTCCTAACAAATTATATCATATTATAAAATAAAAAACCTGAAGTTTCAATATTAAATGGCATTCTTTATTCATCTATATTTTACAATTCGAAATAATTTATATTATAAAATAATTTTTTTGAAAAAATATATATTTTTATATTAATTACACAATAAAAAACAATTATTTCATCCCTTATTTCACTTCATTTACATATCATATTATTTAAATTCAAAATTTCTCACTTTCAACTTAAAAAAAATAATGAAAAAAAATAATTACTGAATTAATTATATCATTAATTTTAAAAATATATCGTATTTTCGCTCTCTTTTTTTCTTTTTCTTTTTTTCTCTTTTTTTAAGTCACCGACGGAAAAATAGGCACGTCACGAGTCATAAATATTTCCCAATCAGTTTTCGTTTCCGGGTTCGAATCAAGTAGGCAGGATGAGAATGATATCTCTTGATTAAGAAAACTTATGTTACACAACAGGGGAGGCATACTACCAATCTGCACTCTAACCAAAACTAAACAACAAAAACATTCTTGGCATCACTTAGAAGTTAGAACTTACATTGGAACAAACATTTTACATGGTAATCAAACTCAATGCCAATCTACAATTTCTCCAAGTGTTGTAGATCCAACCCCTTCCCATACTTCACCATAACCCAGTTCTTCATCATCAACACATTCCATGTCACCATCCCACCAGCCACAACCATTTGCATCTGCCAAACAAACAATTATATAAGTATTTAACAAAATAAAGTTTTGTTGGATCCTCATCCACTGTAGATAGCATCATACAGAATTAAGATTTAAGAAAACAAAGCATTCTTACAGTGATTGTAAAGAGGTCTTTGTTTCTTGTTGCTAGCAGGCTGGTCTCTCCTTCCTCTTTGCTTGGGTTTTGAATCATTTTGCTTTACTCTTGGATCATCTCCCAAAACTATGTAAGGCTTTCGGGCTCTGTGCTCATTTTCATCTACTAATTTCACAATGTATTTCAATTCAGAAGCCATAACATGAAAAATAAAACTCAATAACCAACAATGACAACTTGTAAGCCGATATTTTATCAGTTTATGTATCTTCAAACTCTAGATTATCTATTTTAATTCTCATTAATTTTATTTGTTTGAAGATGTTTAACACATTTGCAAAATCTGAGGGGTATAGACAACAACAAATCAGACAAACGCAAAGAGATACCATCGATACAGGGAATGTTTCACAATGCATCTCCAAAGTTGAAAATATTTTCCTCTATTTCTAAATCTACTTGCTTTGCCCAACCCAGCTTATAATCCACTTGACATAGTCCTTTGTTCTTTTGGTTTCATTAACACATTTAGAGATCAAATAAACTAAATCTGCCTGACAAGTTCGTCCAACAGAGCCAAAAGTTTCATGTACATTACATAGAACTAACCCACATAATCTACTAAGTTGAGGTTATTTAAGATTAAATTTCCAATCTTTAGAATAATGCTATGAGAACATTGTACAAGATATATGGTTTAGTTTTCCTTCTCTAGCAGCCAGAGTAAACTATGCAAAAGTTGATTAGCAATAATAATTAGAAGAAAATAGAGCATAGTTGCATCTTGCACTAAGCAACAGACATTGCATTGAACCTTCTCTCCTTCAAAAATGGGAAGCGGAAAACCAGACTGATAATTGAGATAGCATGACTTACTCTCAAAAGGGTTCCTTCTTTTCCTTGAATTTTGCGCTTCATCATCAGTGTTTGGAGTCCCTTCTTCGCAAATGCTCGATGGATCTGTGCAATCTACTTTCTCTGTAACACCAGGCTTGAACTGTTCAAAAACCACTTTATCAAGGATTCCGCTCCCCTCTCCTTCCCCTTCTTTCCTTTTTTGAGCTACTCCTTCCCCTTCTTTCTTATCTCTAGACTGCCCTCCAGCAGATTCCACAAATTCTTTAGCACCCACAAGGGATGAAAAAGGCTTTGATTTCTCCTGCAATAATTAGACCATTCTGCCTAAAACCCAATTTAATTTTGAATAAAGTAACCTAGATAAATTGACATATTGTTATGGTAGAATAAAAGGCAGTACTTAAAGACCCGAATGAACAAGAACAATAATATTATTGCTTCCTGATGTTAACATACAAGCCATAAATAACAGTAGATTTACGCACCAGTTGTAAAATTAAAGAACAACCCAATTTCTTAATAACCAAACAGTCCAAAATAAATGAGTAATGACATGCAGAGAACTTATTTATATAATATTTATTTTTAACTTAGAGTGTGTATATATATATATATATAATCTAAGTGAAGAATAAATTATATAAAAAATTTATAAACAAAAAATTGTGGTCTTATATTATTTTCCCACATAAATAAACAAATAAAGAGAGTATAGGAAAACCTGAACAGTCTTGAATGGTGCAGAAGCAGAACTTTTCTGCAGCTTCCGATCAAGGAAATCCGATAGCGATATGCGGGATCCAGAATCCTTCTTCGACCCTTTATCGGTACTATCTTCTTTAAAATCCCTGGCGCTGAATTGCCCGTAAACATAAACCCAAAACCCCAAGCATCAATTTTCATCGATTAAAAACTCATCTGAGCCTTTAAAATGCGAAAATTAAAAAGAAGAGGGAGAGGAATTGGGGATTTTTTTCCTTACGAATTCGAAGAGCGGGAGAAGAAAGCAATAGAGGACTGCCCCGAAGCCCGAAGTGGAGTGATCTTCTTTGAATTCATACCAGTGCTTCAGTAGTTTTTCTTCTTTTTCTGGGTTTTAAATTTTTATAATAAAATCAGTTTATAGGAAATCTTAGCAGGTAGGATGCTTGAATTTATTTCACCGGTTTTGGCGCCAAAAAATTATTTTTCAGAGTTTTCTGGCTTTTTACAATGGCGGGAAAGTATAGGGTGCAGATTGGATCAGCACTTTCCCATTAAAAGAAAAAAAACCCAGAAAAAGAGTTTTTTTGGGTCAGCTATTTTTCTTGGCTTGAGTTGAAAATTTTAGAATAAAATTCTTGTGAGGATATAATATTAACGGTTTATAATTCATTATAATCGGTTATAACAATGAAAAAAAAAAGTGGAAGTTTTTCAAGAAGGAAATTTTTTCAATATTTTGCCCGGAATTATATTTTAGAGAATTTTACTCTTTTTTTTTTCTCTTATAACTGATCATAAATTATTGTATTCCGTCCCGCCTTCGATATTTTTTTTGTGAAATATTGCTGCCTTAAATCTATGGATGGACAAAAAATCTACCATGTACATGTATCCATTGTCTATTGCGTGACACACAGTAGTTAAAAAAAAAAAAAACTACACCAATGTTCACTCATTCAAACCCATGTAAATTGATATGTGAATATGTTTTTAACAACATGTTTTTGAGCAAGTACAATTTGAGAGATAAGGAATGAAAAATTGTAATATGGGGTTAGTGCTTTTTCGTCTTACCTTTAAAAAATTAAGAGAAAAAAAGATAAAAATTATCTTAATGCATGCTTTAAAAATATAATAATTTAGTCTTTTTTAATAAAAATTTATTGAAACGACGTAATTTTTGGATGATTTTCTTCGTAATTTTTAAGAGACAAAGCTGATAAATACTATTTGCTTATAATATTACAGCGTTATAATTTAAATTTTAGTTATTATTGAAGTATTGAGTGTACCTATCAAGTGATTCATAAGATTTGATGTAATTTTAATAACATATTAAATTATCATTAAAAGTTACATTTTAAATTTGATATGCCAAGTTAAGAGGATGAATAGTAAATAGTAATATTTAAAAAGTGAGACTTACTTCATAAAATAATAATAATAATAATAATAAACTAAGACATACAATGTGAAATGGAAGAAATGAACTTACAAAGAATGTTCTTACCCATATTGTATAAAATTAGTTACATTACATCGAGTGTTAAATCAAATTTGTTGAAGACATTTCAGCAACAAACCTTCCAGATATAGGTACAATACTCTGGATCTTAAGTCTCCTTACCATCCTGCATGCATAGGGTGAAACTATAGGCCATAAATCCTTTGATAGTTCCGGCCATAAACTAGCTTTCAAGTTTCAACCACAACAATGATCGAAACCTTGATTAACTCAAAACTATTGCTAAAAGTGTCAGTGTTTTCCATAAATATCTTTTGGTTCCTCCATGTCCATAAAGGCCAAATGGTTGCAAACCAGACCCACAGCCACGCTTGCTTTAGATTTCCTTCAGGGAATAATCCTGCGTGCTGTTGTAGATGTTTCCAGCCTTCATGATGTTGAGGTACTGCAATGCCCCACCAATTGTAGCAGGAGGACCATACAAGCCATGTTGTTCTGCCGGTAAATAGAAAGTGATCTGTATGTTCGGCGTGCTGTCTACATAAAGCTCATGTCATACCAGAAGAAATGAATTCTTTATGTTTGAGCAAGTAGATTTAAGGACTATTTTGTATAGAAGTTAAAATCTAGCTGTTTAGAAATTAAAGTATGGCCTGCTTAAGTAGAGTTTAGATATCAATAACCAGTATATAAAATAAAATTTACATGTAAAAACCAGAAAAAGGAAAAATCCATATGAGAAATGCACATGCCAATAGCCATTCCCCCACATGTAAAGACGTTTACTTGAACATTGCAAACACATGTACCCGCAATGGACTTCTTGGGAATGAAGTTACAGGGGGGGAAACGGTGGAGGAAGAGAAGGTCAGTCAGGGTGAGAAAATCTTGGAGGCAACAACAAAATAAGCTCCTTCATCATTGCATTCGATGGAGAGATGTCTTTGATCTTTGCAACAAGTGGGTAGAAGTTAGTCAAGGTGTTTGACAGAGTTTTCTTTAGAAGCTCTAATCGGTCTTTGGATGTCAAGAATGGTAAAAGAAGAGTTATTCATGGGATAGAAGATGATAAATGCAGGATAAGCATAAGGAATAAGCTGGTCCAGAAAGGAAGGCTTGAAGAGTTTAAGGCGTTCGAGTGTTGGAGAAGATGGCTTAATGTTCTCTTTGGAGATGATTTCTGCTTCCATTTTCATTGATTTTTTTTTTTTTTTCCAATTTTCCTAGTCTGATGGAAATGCAAAAGCTTCTTCTCCATTATACCTGCAAAGGAGACATTTTATGCAGCAGAATCAGCGCTTGTAATGCCAGAAACATGAATGTTGACTTTGATCAAGATCAATATTGGACATAAATAGTTTAAAAAGTCTTTGATAACATGTAAAATGGTAATATACTTTTTGCCTGCATATCTTGATTCTTCCTTTGTCATAACAATTAAACCTTTAACTCCACTATTTCCAGAAACCAGCCATATAAACAATTGATGATAGTTCTTAATTGGATGTTAAAGACTCCTGGAAACCAAAATATATGACATGAAGTACTTAATAGCATTCCTAAATCACAATCAAACAGAAAATGCATACAAATCAGGGTGATGTTGCGATGATGTCTGATTAGAATACAAATAAATCAATTCTCTTCTCAAATTCCACAATCAATTCCTATGCCGATACATCACAATTCACATTTTTAAGTCTCCACTAGAAATGAAAAACTAGTTTCTGAAAAGAAAGAGATTCCCACCACATAGAAAATAATTGGCAACTTCAGAATTTCCATCACTAAACACCTGAATTCATACCAGTAAATAGTGGCATATAAAAAAGGATAATAATAGCAGAATATTAACGCAAATCTAGAAAGTAATAAATCTACAAATTAACAGAAAATTAGAAGAAATCAATATGAAAGAAAGATGAAGAGGGAAAAAGAAAAAAGATCCTGGTTAATTAACAAATTATCTCTACTCTGTCACTCCAATGGAACCCTTTACTAACAGAGAATGGAAACCATTGGAGTGACAGGGTAAGATAGTTTGTTTCCAAGATCAGTAATTCACGGCGACATCAAGCTCGGTAACAATATTTCAAGGAAAGGTCAGTGATTTTGGGCTTGAGAGATTCATAAAAGGGGATCTGGCCGAGGAAGGTGAGAAGGAGGGGAAGAAAGAGATCGGAGATGGTGTGTAGCTGACCTTACTTTATTTTAAAGGCAAACCCCCTCTTAAGCCCCTAGACTTATCTCAAATTAACACATGAGCTCCTATACTGGAAACAGTGCAAATAAACCCTTAAACCCTTTGTATAATACAAATTAGCTTTCAAATCCTTCAAATAATGCAAATGAATCCTTATCATTAACTGTCCAAAACATATGATCTCATGTTGTTTGTTCTTTTCTTTCATTTGATCTCATTTTCTCATGTGAATGCAAACATGAATCAAAGGACTCTTTGATCTATAAAAATTCTACCAAAATGGTTCAAATGGTTGGAGAATATTAAATAAAAAAGGCACCACATGAGCAATTTTAATTGGATTTTTACCACCAAAGGGTTCTTTAATCCATGTTTGCATCCATTTGTATGAAAAAGTGAAATCTAGGTAAGGAAAAGAACATCCATCAAAAAAAAAAAAAGGGGTAAGGAAAAGAACAAAGGTTGATTTGTATTTTTTGAAGGATTTGAGGATTAGTTACATTATTTGAGGGGTTTAAAAGTTTATTTGTACCATTTTTAGTTTAGAAACTCATGTATTAATTTTGAGTAAGTTTGGGCCTAAGATGGAGTTTTTGCCAACTTTATTACAAAGGTGTTAGATTAGACGCGCTCCAAAACAATAAACAATTCACCGAAAGCAAAAGGTGCTACCTTATTGACCAACAAAAAAGAAGTATATTTATCAAAAAAAAAAAACAAAAAAGAAGTGCTACTCTTGTTTTCTTTTTATTTTTTTATTTTTTTTGGCCAACAGGTGCTACTTTTGTTCAATGACCTTCTTTTGAAAGAAAGTTGCAGTTACAATATTAAATAATATTGTAAATTTATAATATTATAATATTATTAATTTTTTATTAAATAATTTATTTTTAATATTATATATTTATTTAATATTACGTTATAATTATAAATTTATAATTTTAAATAATATTATAACTATAATATTATAATTTATTTTAAAAAATTCTACTTTTGTGGAAGAATATTTTTTTAGTGCAATGGGAATATACATCATCAATAACCCTAACACAGAAAATTATCGCATTAGAAAATTTTTTTTTATCAAGATAGAGTTTCATAAATTATTATCCTCGGCAATTTCACAAATAAATAAATAATAGTAAATGTTCAAAAATAAATAAATAAATAATAAAATATCTTACAATCTAAATTGTAGAGTATCATAAAATAATAACTATTAAATAATAAGTAATTTTTAATAATATGTATTAATTTTTATTTAATGATTAATATTTTATAATTTATTGCAAATAATACTACAAAATACTTAACCAAATGAAAATTTTTTAATAGATCATATAATATACTATATAATAAAACAAAAGTCTCATACACCACCAACAAATATACTATATAATAAAACATAAGTCTCATACACCACCAACAAATATACTATATAATAAAACATAAGTCTCATACACTGCGAACAATAAGTTTTATGAATAGGGTAATAAATATTAAAAAAATTTCTTTTATAGACCTAATGTGATTTGATTCTAAGTTAATGAAGTTGAATATAACTTTTAGATTGCTGGATTAGTT